CTTCAGGTTTTGAATTTTGAACAAAAGCTAGCAGTATCTTAGTGTGAAATATTTAGGTTACTTACCTTAGATTCTTTCTCATAATGATTGGTGCATTCGTGGAATTGCATTTATTCACGTGTTCGCTTACCTTACACCTGTCAGTAATTCTTTGGTAACAAATTCTGGCCTGGCACTACTTTTGATCAAATGTAACACCTCCCCCCGGACCTCTGGTACTCACCGCTATATGCTCTTCCAAGACATCTGTACAAATCTGAAACAAGTGGTCTTCAAAATAATGGTGGAGCAGTGACTTCTGTGAAAAGAAACCTAGCGGAGGTGATAATGTAGCAGGGGAGAGTGATCGATTATTTATTAGAAGTTTTCCTTTTGCCCACTGTGTGTTCTCTCATTAGAACCTAATTTTTCACTTACATTAAAATTGTCCTTTAAAGTCACACATGCAGCCGTCTTCACAGTTAATCTGTCCTAGCAGGGCTGCATCAGGACCGCTGTGTGGTTATCACCATGCCTGCTCTGGATCCGCCCTGCCCAAGGCTATCACACCCATGCTTTTCGTGTTTCCCTTCAACTTTAAAAATAATGCACATGCACAGATTGAAAATGTGAGGTGGACCTGGCCAGAGGAGAGACCCACAGGGCAGAGACCCACAGGCGGGGGAGATGGGCTCTTCCTCAGAGCGATGGGCCGGCAGGGAAGGCTTTTCACCCAGGCATGAGCATGATTTGAACAATTGGCCCTGAAGATCCGTGGTTTCCAATTCATGCGCAAACTATCTGTGCTGAACACGGAGTCCTCTGCCCTTGCATTGTTCCTTGAGCAATGCGGTGTGACTGTAGTTTGCACGGCATTGACATTGTTCTTCTTGGCAATGGAGAATCGTTTAAGTCCACTGGAGGGGCTGGGTTGTCTGTGGACTTTGGTGTCTGAGGGGGCCTGGAGTCAGTGCCCTGCGGCCCCTTGGGACCACTGTCATCCCAAAGCTCCCTCTGGCTTCTGAGCGACCCGACGCAGAGTATGACTCACAGATGTCCTGAGCTTACTGGAGAAGTGTTCCTGAGTCATCTGGCCTTTAGTGAAGTCCTTGAATTAGGGCCATTTTCTCCCATGTGTGAGTTTAAGTTTCCTCTCTAAAGACAAACAAGAAAACTCTTTTAACAGCCTGGTTCTGGTGAGGCAGGGAGAAGTGGAGCTGCTAAGAGATCTTACACACACACACACACACACACACACACACACACACACACACACACGCGCGCGCTCTCTCTCTCTCTCTCTCTCTCTCTCTGTCTCCTGGCTCAAGCACAGAGCTGTGAGTCTCTGCAGGGCTGCAGGACAGTACTGTCTAAGAACTCCAGGACTGAGGAGTCGGGGAAGAGCCATCACCTGGGTGAGCTCAGCAGCAAATCAGGGTGGTTGCCATGGTGATCGTGAGGGTCAGGTGGGGAGGTCAGTGTCAGGTGGAGCGATCAGGTGAAATAGCAACAGGGCATGGGGCTGAGGGGCTGGCAGCAATAAGTTCTTCAGTTCTCCTGAGCTGACAGGCGGACTGGGCCTGAGGGGGGTCTTCAGTGACCTGCCTGGCATTCTCTCCAGGTCCTGTGAGTCCTGAGACCAGGCAGGGGGCCGTCCCCAGGGTACGCGTGGTATCTAAGGCAGTGCCCACACGGCCTCCGTTTTGTGCATTCCCTGCATAGTACTTTGTGGCTGGCGAATCCAAGTTTTCTTTTGGGAAGTTTTTTTGTTTTGTTTTGTTTTACCATTTTTTGAGGTAATGGGGATTGAACCCGGGCCTTCACACCGAAGTACATCCCAGCTCATTTTTAATTTTGTATAAAATGGGTATCCCTGAGTCCCTAGTTGCCAGGCTGGGCTTGGACTTGAGATCCTGCTGCCTCAGCCTCTGAGTTCGGGGATCACAGACGTGCACCCCCAGCTGTGTCATGGTCTGAGGACCAGAGCTGGAGCACAGAGTGGACGGCAGGGTTGACCTCTGCTGGGAGAAGCCGCAGATGGGCACTGGGGCTGCGAGCAGGGGCCCGGCCCGCACGCGTGGTCCATGTGTCCCCGACCGGCCCTTCACATGTGGACACTGCTTGTCACTCGGCCCTGGTCGGGGACACGCGCCAAGCCCGGGTCCTGGCCCTCCTGGAGCGGATCTCACGGTAAAGCCAGAGGCGCCCAATCTGCACGTTTAGTGAGCACTCCCAGGGTTGAAGAGGAGGGAAATTAGCTGTGCAGAGAGGGAAGGGGCTTGTTGCTAGGAGACAATTCAGCAGTCAGGGCTCCGGGATGCCCGGGCCTGGAGGCAGAGCGGCCACCGTCTGGCCAGGGAGTGCAGGGGAGGTGGTCACCCGCCGGAGCACAGCAGGAAAGCGCAGGCTCTCAGGCCGCAGGCCGCACCATCCCGCCTCCTTCCCTGGCACGCATGTGATCAGGGCTGCAAGCCTGGCTGAACTCAGGTTAGCATTGCGTCCCGGCCACTCGGAGCCCAGGCATCAGAGGCTGAGGCGGGCGGGTGCAGCGCTGATGTGGTTTCAGAGAATCAGGGCTGGCTGACTCATGCTTGCTGCCACGTGGACAAGCCACGCCGGACCCTGCAGCTCGCCAGCCTGGGTCTCCACTGCCCCCACCCCAGGCTCCTCAGGAGCTGGAGCCCAAGCCCTGGGGCTGCTTTTTTCTGGGTAGGGCCACTGGGGCTTGAATCCAGGACCCTTGCCCTGAGCTACATCTCTCATCCTGTGTTTTAAAAAATTTGAGACGGAATCTCCCTAAGTTGTCCAGGCTAGACTCAAACTTGTGACCCTCCTGCCTCGGCCTCCTGGAGTGCTGGGATTACAGGTGTGGGCCATGAGGCCCAGCTGGGCTCTTTGGTGGGCCGTGTAGGGACTGGGCCCAGAGCTGCTGTCTTCTCAAGATGCGGCCGCTAACAAGATCCAAGGACACCTGCTGCCACTGTGTCCACGCCCATGTGCGTGGTCGTGGGCGGTAACCTGTGGTGCCGCAGGTCGCCTGTGAGGTGGGAGTCGTGAAGGGGTCTAAGGAGCTTGTTGTGATGGTTAAAGGTAAGTAAGGAGCAGCTCTTAGCCCCAAGCCTTGCCACGGAGTTAGCCCTGAAAAAGTGCTACTCAACGGGCATGGTAGCGCACGCCCATCCTCCCGGCGCTCTGGGAGGCTGAGGCAGGAGGATCACAAGCTCACAAGTTCAAGTCCAGCTGGGCCAAATGTTAGCAAGACCTTGTCTCAGAATAAAAAAGAACAGGGATGTAGTTCAGTGCTAAAACGCTGAGTTCAATCCCCAGTACTGGAATTAAAAAGGAAGAAGAAAGAAGAGAGAAAGACAGAAACTGTGGCTTTTTGTTTTGTTTCACTTTTGTGGTACTAGAGAAGGAAGGAAGAAAGGAAGGAAGGAAGGAAGGAAGGAAGGAAGGAAGGAAGGAAGGAAGGAAAGAGGGAGGGAGGGAGGGAGGGAGGGAAAGAAAAAAAGAAAGCATTCTTATTCTCGATAGAGCTACTCTTGAGGACAAGGCAGAATTTTATTGTTTCTAGAGAAATATTTCATGACCATTAAAAATAAACCCATCGCTTCCTAAAGGTAACTGGGTAATAAAGCAGCACCAAAGGCCCCTTCCCGGGGCTGCGGTCTTGTGAGGAGCTCCCGGCCTGCCCGGTTCGTACTGGGGGCCTGCTGCGTGGCTGGGACGCCGGCGCAGATTCATCCAAGGCTGCACGACCAGCATCAGATTCCACTCAGTCCTCCTAGCCGAGGAGAAATGTCATTACCCCGACAGAACATGGCACCTGTAGGTCAGTCAGAGTCTCTGGTCTTATAAATACATTCTTTTCAGCACTGGGGATCAAACTCTGGGCCTTCACACTGGGCTACAACCCCAGCCCTTTTTACTTTTTTTTTTTTTTTTGAGACAGAATCTCATTGAATCCCCAAGTTGCCTGAGCTGGGGTTGAACTTGGGGATCCCCCTGCCTCAGCATCCCAGAGTGCTGGGGTTACAGGTGTGCACCACCATGCGTAGCACCTAGCTCGGAATATGTCTTGGATCACTTGAAGAGAATTCTGATTTCGCAAATAGGTCTCACCGCCTCGTCTGCACCAGGAAGGTGCACATTCCCAGCAATTCAAAGCAAAAAGACGCAGGTCCAGGTCTCAGAGCCTCGTGGGTCTAGGGGAGCCGGTCGAGCGTCCTGGAGTGGGGCCGGGAGGAGTGCGGCCGGTGTCCTGGTGTGGCTGTCTGTTTTTGTTTTGCTTTGTGGTACTAAGTGCTGAACCCAGGGTCTTTGCAATGAGCTCCATCCCCAGCCCGTAATTTTTTGTTTTGAGATAGGCTTTCGCTACGTCACTAAGTTGCCCAGGCTGGTCTTGAACTTGGGATCCTCCTACCTCAGCCTCCTGGTGTGGCTCTTAACTGACCCCAAAGGCTCAAAGAATATTTGATATAGAAGAATTCTTCAAAATAACCTCAGAGAATCCTTCCATTCATGCCTTCAGCAATCAAAGCCTGCTGGAGTGTGTATCACTCCTGATGTGCTGGTTCCGTGCTCTGCGCACACGCACGCACGCATGCACACACACACACACACATGCGTGTATGTACTCCCCCCCAAAACAAGGAAGAAAACCTAGGTTTCCTGCTTCACAGTAGGAGCTACATTCTGGTCTGAGGATGTATTCAGTGATGCAAAATATAGGAGGCACTCTCCAGGCCTGCGAGCGCTTCCTGTCTCCCCAGGCGCTGTGTGGGGGAAATCTTCCCCGGGTCCCCATTGCCAGCACACGGCTCAGCTTCCTGTCTGCATATTGACCTCTGTTCACCCGAAGCCTCTGCCCCAGGCTGCAGCCGGCTTCGGGTCTCCATCTCCATGGTGACAGTCACTGAATGCAGAATGGGGGCCCTGGGTGAGCCTTGGCAATGGTGTGCGTAGTCACCGCCGTGCCTCACCAAGGAAAGAGGGAAATGGTGCCTGCTTTCTCCCTGCAGGTGGTGGCTACCCTGGGGACCACGAACTGCTGCTCTTTCGACAACCTCCTGGAAGTGGGTCCTATCTGTAAGTACCACGTTTGGTGCCTTCCCAGGGCACGTTATCGCGTGCAGGGAACTCAGCCGGCTCCCTCTCTGGGCGTCCGCATCACTGATTTCACGGGCGATGATCTTCCAGACGCCTCCTGCAGTCACAATGTCAGCCTCGTGGCTAGAGCTGCACAGCCTCAGAATCCGGGCTCCCCGGACGGAAGCTGAGTGTAGCTCTACGGCTAGTGGAGCAGCAGCGTGGCGCTGTTGGTAAAGGGCAAGAACATCCCCCAAGGCCGCCCTGAGGCCACACCGCAGGCCATGTGGTGAGAACGAACCCTTCCGAGTCTCCGAGCAGTCCTGCACAGCCTGACGTACACAAACCCCGAGACTCCTTCCTGTTTGCTGGGTCTTTGCACACCCTTCGCAGGACTGGGGAGCGAACCCAGGTCTTTCACACTGAGCTACATCTCCAGCCATCTTTTTAAAATGATATTTTATGGCTAAATTCCCTGGGTTAGCCTTGAACTTTGACCTTTCTCCCTCAGCCCCCCAGGGTCCCGGGATTACACGTGTGCACCATCATGCCCGGCGGAGGTGTCCCGTTTTCCAGCTTTTGGGGGTGGGGGTTACAGCCATACACTCCCTATCGGCACTGAGTGTGGGCCACGCGTGGGTGGTTGGTGCCACAGGGTGGGCACTAACCTGTGCGAGCGAGGTGTCTGTCCGTCCACGCCGCTGCAGGACTGCTTCTCGGGGCCTGCCTGTCATCAGCTCGTCCAGCACACGGCTGCCCTGAGTACCTCGGCCAATCGCGTAATGTAGCAAACGCGTGCCTGCCGGTCTGCAGCGGCTCAGCGACTCCCTGCCCGCTGGGTGCTTTCGTGGCTCTCGCCGGCCTCCTCCTCCCTGCCCCTGGCGGGTGCCCAGGTTCAAGATGGAGAAGGCAGTTCTCTCTTTTTTTTTTTTTTTTGCCTTTTTGAGACAGGGTCTCACTATGCAGCTCAGGCTGGCTTTGAACTCACTTTGTAGCCCAGGTGGGCCTCGAACTCACAGTGATCCTCCTGCCTCAGCCTCCCGAGTGCTGGGATTTTTTTTGTTTGTTTTTTTGTTTTGTTTTGTTTTGTTTTTCTCCGGTACCAGGAACCGAACTCATGACCTTGCACTTGCCAGGCAGGCCCTTTGCTGCTGAGCTAAATCCCCAGCCCCCCGAGTGCTGGGATTACAGGTGTGCACCACCAAGCCCGGCCAAGACTGCAGTTCTGATCGCCCAGGTCCGGAAGGCCCTGTGTGAGCTCCACTGTTTCCCAGGCTCACAGGGCTCTGCACCTCCCGGGGCCGTGGGCACTCGCTGTGGACAGCAGGGGACGCTGTCCACGGAGCTCCTGTCCGTCCCTCTTGAAGCCAGCGCTCCCTGGGGGCACTGCCCTGACTTGGCTTACCCGGCGGCCCACGCAGGGCTGTGTGATGGTCTCGGAGCCCTCCTTGCAGACAGAGGGGCCGGTCCCTGCACACAGGTCCAAGCCGCCCGCCACCTGCAGGCGTGTGCGTGGCACAGGCCTGCCTGTCCCCTGCGTGTGTCCGCTGGCTCTGTGCTGGCGGGCAGTGTCAGGACCTGTAAGGCTGCCACCCGGGAGGGACAGGACGGGTAGACTCGGAGGCATCGCTGGGCCTCCGCCTCTGGACCCCGCCAGCTCCGCAGCTCCAGGTCTCTGACTCAGACTCCGGGAACGGAACGTCCCGGCCGGCAGGGCTGATGCAATCCCTGGCTGCCATGGGAGTCAAAGGGCTGAAGACTTCTGCGCCCGCGAGGGAGCAGCCACGCCAAGCACGGTGCCCTGGCTGACCTCCGTAGGCCCGGGGCTGGGACAGGCAGAGGAACCCGAGCTGTTTGATCTCCGCCCAGGGGAGCTGCAGCAAGGCCCTTTCATTCACGGCCGGCAGCTGCACTCGGGGGCAGCGTTACTCACCCACGGGCTCCACCTGAGGCCTTGCCTGTGACTGTGCCCAGCTATTGGGTGTCGCCCAGCCAGGCAGAGTGTTCTGAGGCCCAAACAGATCCCGTCTCGTGGTGCCATTAGAAGACTGTTAGCTGAGCATCGTGGTGCGCCTGCAGTCCAGCATTCTGGTTGGAGCTGAGGTAGGAGAAGTGCCAAGTTCAAGTCATTTAGGGTCTTCCTAAGCCGCTAAACTTCGCAGGCGGGGTTTGAACTTGAGCTCTTCCTGCCTCAGCCCTCCAGAGTGCTGGGATGATGCCAGGTTGTGGAGTGGAGTGGAGGGGGCCACGGTGATACTGAACCACTTCCCAAGGCCTCCGCCACCTAACACCACTGGCTGGGGCGCGCGTTTGTCATGCGGATCTGGACGGGGCACAGACGTTCAGACATAGCAGGCTGTGCAGCCATCTTGTAAGGGACGTGCAGCTCTGTGGACCTCACAGCACAGCCAAGCAAAAGCAACGGCGCCATCATCCTTCAGGACTCCTGGGCCAGAAACCCCACTCCTCCCGCGGCCTTGTCTTCGTTAGTTTCTCAGCGCTGGGGCAGAATACCCAGCACCCACGGCTTACGGGAGGCGAGGTTCCGGCTCCGCGGTGTCCAGAAGATTCACGCTCGGGGCAGCGCGGCAGGCGGCGGGGAGCTGCTCACTCCGCGCAGACAGGGAGCCGGGAGAGCGAGGGAGAGCAGCACAGGGCCAGGAAGCCCCTCCCGGGCCGCGCTGGGCCCCGCTCTTCTGGCCGGAGCCCCCTGCGCACCCTGGAACAGGGCCAGAGCTGCCCGTGAGCGCCGCACCCGTGACCCCGTGTCCCTCCAGCCCCCGCCTCTGGACGCAGGAGGCCTGGGAACCCTCTGGATCTCGGCTGTGACAGCCTTTGTCCCTGGCGTGGCCGGGATCCCGCAGCACCCTCAGGACCGGCGACAGGCCAGACGACCGGGCTGGCGAGGCGCGTCCCTGTCCCTGCCCTTGCGCCCATCTGAGCTTGACCCCCGGGGGTCTCATCCCTGAAGGCCGAACCCATCCAAGCTCAAAATGGCCTTTCCAGCCCGTGTGGGTGGAGCTCCGAGCGGCCCCTCTGCCCCCAGCATCGGGATGGGAAGGTAGATGCGGGATGCCCCTCCACGGGGGGCAGGTGCCCCTGCGCTCGGCCTCTGCCACGCTGGTCCTTGCCCACTCTGTGCCCCTGCCGGGGGCGCTGGGCGGCGGGCGCCTGGCTGGGACTCACATCCATTCCCCAGCACTGAGCACGGTGCGGCAGGCTGTCAGGACAGGGTCCCGTGTCACCCGAGCGTGCGGCACCCCCTTTCTGTCCCCTTTGCCTACGAAAACAACGCAGCCGGGAGGAGGACAGGGCCTCACGGCGGGGGCAGAGGGGCAGAGCTGCAAGGGCTGAGGGGAATCGGGGACCTTCCAGCAGGGATGGGAGGCCCGGCAAGGACGGTCGAGAGCAGGGCGGGCGCCCTGAGGTGGCACCGGCTGCTCACAGGCTCCGCGCTCAGCTCCTGCGCAGCTGCTGCGCGCGTGGGGTCCGCGCTCACCTCACCGCAGCGTCCGGCTGAGAGGGCAGGGGCCTTCGGCGGTCTGGGCCCCACGTCGTCCCGCTGTGCAGGGCGGGGTCCCCTGACATGTGAACGCACCCTGTGCTTCTGGTTGCAGGCAACGAGGAGGACATGTGGCTTCACATCGATGCGGCGTACGCGGGCAGCGCCTTCATCTGCCCCGAGTTCCGGCACCTTCTGGACGGAGTAGAGGTGGGTGCTGAGATGTCAAGCATTCGCCTCACCCTCTTGCTGTGCTAGGGGTAGAGCTGGGGCTCCCTGCACGCCAGGCAAGTTTGCTGGCCCTGCGCTATGGCCCAGGCCCATGTCAGTTGCTTTCTCTTTTTGTGTGGTACTGGGGATTGAACCCAGGACCTTTGCACTGAGCTACATCCCCAACCCTTTTTATTCTGCGTTTTGAGACAGGGTCTCCCTAGATCACTAATTTGCCTAGGCTGGGCTCAAACTTGTAATCCTCCTGCCTCAGCCTCCTCGAGTGCTGCGATTGCAGGTGTGTGCCCCCAACCCTGGCTCCACGGTCATTTTTTAAAAGCACTAAGTTGTCATCGATGACTTCTTCCTTTGTGAGAATCCCACGCTCCGGGTCCAACCCTTCCCAGTGAGCCCCGACAGTGGCACTTCCTGGGGAGAAGGCTGCGAGCCTCCCTCAGCCCCTCGCCCATCCCCTAGCGGCACTCCAGAGGCTGACAGCTGCCTTCCGGTCTGGCCCACACAAAGCCAGCAGAGCGGTGCATGTGATGGGATGGACTTTAGCTTCAGAAACCTCGGGGAAAGACTCAGGGACCAAAGGGAGTTTTCACGTGGCTCCTCCCAAGGGCAACGAAAACGCACCCTCTGAGTCTCACAGCCTGGCCACTCTGCATCCCCGCCCCCGCTACTCTCCCACCTGGCACAGCAGGTGTCTAACCAGTCCTGGACAGCAGCTCCTGTGCCTGGACACTGTAAGTGAAAAACAAAGCAAAACCCCCGCTGCCTTGAGACACAGCAGCCTAGAGACAGGCTGGTAGCGAGCTTCTCCACAGGGTGCAGAGTGTAAGGCGACCCCGCTGCTCACAAAGCAGCCTGGCTGGGGACGGGTCCCAGCAGGATGGCGCAGAAGGTAGCAGCTCAAAGGCCCCTCAGGGACTCAGGTCAAGGCTGTTCCAGGCTGTCCTGGGCAGTGTGTCCAGGGAAGGAGATGTGAAATGGGGGAGTCCATCGGCCAGGACAGAACGGCTTTCCTTTTAGGGTCAGAGACCTCACCCTGCACGGCTGCAGGTGGAGGACAGGACAGTGGTCCTCAGGTCCTGGGTGTGAACCCCAGGCCTGCCCTCGGACTACCGCGCACCCTGGGGCAGGCGGGGGTCCTCTCCGCCCTCAGGCATCGACCCGTGGCCCTGTGGGCTTGCCGTGGGTGTAGATGGGCCGATGACAGGGAGAAGCACAGGCAGCCCGCACGCAGGAAGCGCTGAGCACGCATCAGATGCTCTCGTTAGTGTCCTCCGTGGCGTGGAGCAGCGCTCCCCGACCCCTCCTGCTCAGGAGTCTGACTCACCAATCCATTTGCTAACGACAGTCGCCTAATGCTGGAACACCCGCCAGCAGGTGTCAGAGGTGCAGAATACAAACGGCCCCATCTCTGGAAGGAATGATCTTGATTACTCCTACGCAAGTAGCCCCCTCGATTCAGGATTCAGTCATTTGTTCAATAATCGCTCATCGAGCGCTTCAGGCAGGAGAGTTTAGCTGGAATGGGAGGGCTCCCAAAAACCTAAGTCCAGGGCGGGGGCCCGCAAGAAGTTCTGAAAAGGAGCCGCCCCCCACAGTTCGCAGCCCAGGCTGCTCAGGCGGGAGCTTTGTGCTGGGAAAGGAAGAATGAGCCTCAAAAGGCGAGCATCTTTGTGTGTGTGAGGGATTTTTTTAAGACATCTGAAAAGAGTGCTAATACAATGAGAAGCAGCAGTTGAATACTAAGGAAATCTGCAAGAATTAGGATTTGGGGAAGGTGGAAAAAATGACCTAAACATTTAAAAAAAACTGGGAACTGCCACAAAAAGAAGCTGAAAAATATTCCTATTTTTTGATTTTAAAGAGAGAAAAACAATAAAGGCAATACAGAATTTCAAAACAAGATGATAGGAAATGAACAGTGGTTGTTATATTGCATATTGTTATCTTCAAAGCAGCTGCTCAGATGACCAGATATAGGCGTGTCAGATTAATCAGATGGTACAAACACTAGCTGTTCCATTGAGTAAACTAATGGAAACAAGTAGTACAATCATCTTCGCTACCTGCGTATATACTGAGTCTGCATAAGACTCCTCGCATGATTTTTATTAAACTAGAGAGCCCGGCCTGTTGGCATGTTTCCTCCCACGCAAAACATAAATAACAGGGCTCCCCTCACTGGTCCCCATGTTGGCAGGCCCCCCATCCGCAGCTTTCTAGTGATCCAGGCCTGCATCCTCACGTCTGCACCCCACAGGCATCCGCCTTGTAGCCCCACCCTCCTTATCTCCCCCTCTTATCTCCCGTGTCCGATCTCCCCCTGGGGTCTAGACCCCCTCCCTTTCTTCCCTCTGTCTCCTGCCCATCTCTACAGTCCCTCTCCCCAGTTCCTCTTTCCTTTCGCCTTTCCTCAGGGCATTGCTATGTAGCCCAGGCTGGCCTCAAAATAACAGCCAACTTCCTGCCTCAGTCTCCCAATTGCTGGGGTTACAGGTGTGCCCCACCACGCCCAGCTCTTTCCTTCATATTCCTTTTTAAATTATGTATACTTTGACTTCTCATATAAGAAAAACCATGCGATACACACATGAAACTGTGTGTTTTCACACCCTGGAACTATTCTATACACATTTTTTTTCCCCTTTTGTATATCGAGGGTTGAAGACAGGGCCTTTGCACTGAGCTACAGACCTTTTCACTTTCTGCAGTATTTTGAGATTGCTGTGGCAAACAAACACGGAACCAAAGACCAGGATTTGGAGGCGGATTTATTTTACGTTGGCAGGCACTGGTTGGGTTCATTCCCAAAATATCAGGCCCCAGTCTGGTGGTCCAGGGCTGTTACATGATGCACAAGCAGGAGGTACAAAGGCCAGAGAGCAGAGCTTGGCAGTTCTTCTGCTCACTAGTTACAAGGGTGCATTAAAGATCTTGGTACAGTCAGACATCCTGGACTCCAGAAAGTAATGACAGTGCCACAAGCAGTTACAGAGCTAGGCAGTTTCAAAAGAACAAAGTTTTTTAAAAAAGAACAATTTCTCTGGTACAGTTTTTCCCTGTCAAGGCAGGGTCTTGCCAAGTTGCTAAGTTACCCAGGCCGAGCTGGAAGTCTCAATCCTCCTGCCTCAGCCTCCCAGAGTGCCAGGGCAGGAGATGCGTGCCACCACACCTGGGTCGTACACAACTGAATTAAAAACACTGTTGACAGTTACCTTCCAGCCCTGAAGGCTTTCCTGCCACCGGAAGTAGCCACCCCCGGACAGGGCCAAGGGAAGAGGGTCCTGGTTCATCTGGGATTTAGGGGCCTGGGCTGGGGCTCCTGTGTGGCCCAGGTGTCGGGCTTAGGGCTTCCTGATCCTCTCTTGCCTTGCAAGTCTAGGTGTCGCCTTTCGCAGGCGGTGCCTGGCACCCAGAACAGGATATCGGCACCACACAGCGCTCCCTGGCCAGTGAGGAGCTGGTCCCAGCCTCCGCCCCTGTGGTCCCCGAGTGCCTCTCCTCTCTGCAGAGGGCTCAGCTGCTCAGCGGGTCAGATAAGCCGGCTGCAATATCCTGTGTCAGCCTCACCCTGCAGATAAGAGCCGCTCTCCCTCAGCCCGAGGGAGACGTCGCTGTCGGTAATGATGGAAGTTTAAACAGAGCAGGCCCAGAGCAGGGAGCTCATAAAATCCCAAGCAAACAAAGCTCCTCCTTTGACCTTTTGCTTCCTTTTATCAACAAATGAAACCTGGCTGCAATTTCCTGTCTGTTTCTCAAAATTAGATGTTTGAACCCTGGGAGGAAATGAATCGGCACCTCCAGGGTGGCGTGGAGCCTTGGGGTCCTGGGTCTCCGGGCCTGGGGCTCGACTCTCAACACCAGCCAGGCACAGGGGCTACAAAGCATCAAACTGGGACGTGGGTGCCTGCCATCCATCTGATGACAAAGCGGGGCACAGTCAGGACAGCACGGACCGCCCCTCTCGGCCGTGCCGGGTGGTTGAGGCCCCTTACTTTCTCCTCGCAAGTGTGGTGCATGACTCTGGAGCCAGTTGTCTGCCGTTGCCACCCAGGCTGGCAGTAGTGAGGGCCCAGTGAACTTGGGTATCACCTTTAAAAATAAAGAAGAGCTGGGCGTGGTGTGCACAACTATAATCCCAGCAAGCGGGGAGGCTGAGGCAGGAGGATTTCAAATTCCAGCTCAAGCCCGGGCAATTCAGCAAGACCCTGTCTCAAAATCTAAAAAAACAGTCTGCGCTGTAGGAAGCGTTGTACTATTAATGGCAGGCTGGCAAGAGAACCAGTCAGTTCAATACAAAATGAATTTCTCCCTAAGTACTGAAGAGTAGATTCGGAATTGTCACTGTCTCCCTCTTACGATGACGCACAGCTCTGTGGCGTTTGCAGCTCAGGAAGTTGATGAACCGTGGGCGGGAGGTGTTCCACTAGTCTAATCAGTGTAATTTCTGCACACAGTGCTAAGGGTTCCAAATCTCCCAGTACAAGCATAATGTGGATACACTGTATGAGACTTGGTAAATCTGAAAGTGCTTTTCACTTGGGAATATCAGTGTGGTGGATTGACAACTGGTGCTCAATTTGTAACACCCAGCTGAACTGAGTCAGAGTGTGGGAGGCCCACCCGGGGGTTGCTGCCGGCAGCCTAACAGGCAGAACTAGAGAGGAAGAGGTTAGAAGCTGTTAGGAGCTGTTGGAAGCTGTGAGGAGCTGTTGGTTCTCTTGGAGGAGCTCGTCATGCTGGCTTTCCGGATGAGCTCGGATGTTCTCATCGTGGAAGGAGCCTGGGGCCGTACTGTTGCTGAGAACGGCTACAGCTCACCCTGGGGGAGCTCTGGTCCTCACTTTGAGCATCACTTCCTGGCTCCAGTGCAGATCCTTCAGCCTGCTAGCACAGATCCTTCATCCCGCTGGCACAGACTTTCTAGCTTCCGCCATTGACCTTTGAGCCTTCCCAGCACAGACCCATGAAACAGGCCTGCACGAGACACTGTCATGGGCTCTGGGCCTTCAGCTGACTCATGGGAGGCATTGTTATGGGCTCTAGGTCTTCCGCTGGACTCATGCAGGACATTTGCATGGGATCCAGGCCCTCAGCTGGATTCTTTGGTCTTTAGCGTGTGGACGGATTTCCTGCAGTCTCTTTGTGTGTGACTCTTTGGGTGACTGTTACACATAATCTTATAAACTATGTGTCCTGTGTTGTATTGTTCCCCTTGCAAAACCCCAAGCCACAGCAGTCAGCTTTTCATTATCACATCTGGGGTCTCGTTGTATACCTGAATCTTGACAACTTACACGTTTTCCATTTGTTGTTCAGTTTGCAGATTCATTTAACTTTAACCCCCACAAATGGCTTTTGGTGAATTTCGACTGCTCGGCCATGTGGTAAGTGTCCCCGCCAGTGACAGTTCCCAGAGCCCGGGGCCGGGAGATGACAGGCGCCAGATAGGAAGGCGCGGCGGGGAGGGGCAGCGGCTGAGCTCGCTGCTGACGCCCACGTCTGAGCCGCGGACGGGATTCTTGCTAAATCGCAGCCCGGCTGCAAACTTTTATCCAGAGCACATTGCCGCAACGCACTGGCAGAAGACAAGAGAAGAGGCCCATCTGCAACGTGATTTATCTAGCTTTAAGCGAAAACAAATCCGAGGAAATTTCAGGACGTCGTGGCCCTTGGTTGCGTCTATGTTTTTATTCTTCAGCTCATCACCCGTCTTAGTCTACTGCTAAGTTTAAAGCAATCTGAGCGGAGCAAAACCATCTAAGTGCCCTGAAACGTTTGCCAAGAAGAAGTAAGAGTAACTTGAGGTCCTCAGAGCTTCCCTGGAAATTCTTAATAATAGGGCCACAGTCACTTTGATTTTATTTAGGGTAAAAAATGAAGAATTCATAGGGGCTGGGGACTTAGCTCAGCGGCAAAGCGCCTGCCTGGCAAGCACAAGGTCGTGAGTTTGGTTCCCGGTACCGGAAAAAAAAAAAAAAAAAAAAAAAAAAAAGAATTCAGAAGTTGGAGTGGGGGGCATTGCGTGACGTGTGTGCTATCTATAGGCACAGTGACTTGGGGAGCCGGGAGAGACACTAGAAATTTGTTCTGCAAAAACCCGTCAGTGAGAAGCTGCGATGAGTGCCTCCCAGGACCACGTAGGCCTTGGATGAATTTCACGAGGGATGTGAAGCGGCAAGACTGCCAGGAAGCTTTGCAAGAGTTTTGTGCAGTAGGCAAGATCGGAAGCTTTCAGAGTTTTCGTATGCTTCATGTGCAGCGTCCTTTCACTAAATGAAAGGTTTTCCTCCCGGGAAAGATGAGGATCGCTGCTCTCCCACATCTGACACCCCGTCTCCCAATTTCCCGGGCGATCGGTTTGTCCTTCCTCTGGTGTATCCAAAAGCAAACCCCATTCCTGTCCTGTACACCTGCTTACATTCTCTTATTGTCATAATCTCTCACCCCCCAACTTTTGATACATGATTTTAAAACCAATTACTTTTCTTTGTACTAGGGACTGAACCCAGGACCCTCACACTGTGCTAGGGACTGAACCCAGGACCCTCACCCTCAGACTCAGCTCCTTTTTAGATTTTGAGACAGCGTCTCTCTTGCTCAGGCGGGGCTTGAACTTGCGATCCTCCCAGAGTGTTGGGATTACAGGCGTGCACCACCCTGCTTAGCTAACCCCAATTAGTATGTGGGCATTTCAGACTTAGATGCGAGGGTCCCGTCCTGCGGTTGTGTTTCCTGTTTCATGGTCAGGGCAGCGTGGGAAGGGTAGGTTATAGTACAGGGTGTCAAGGTTTTCTGAAAATTGTACTTTTGCTTGAAACGTAACTGGTCCGTGGGGACGGATACTTGGTCCCTGGGGACGGATACTTGGTCCCTGGGGAAGGCACTCAGGAGCAGAGGCCAGGGAAGCCTATCAGGCTGCAGGAGGTGTGGCCGGGTGCACTGTGGCCCCAACTCCCGAGCACCTGCTCCCTGTCTGTGGCTCTGAAAGGCTGGAGATGCAGGTGGCGATGACGCAGCTGCGCCACCTCCCGAGCTGCAGGCTGTCGGGATGCGGAGATTCTGTCTGTCTGGCAAAAGCCAGGTCTCTGTCAGACCCAAGCACCTGGCCATGTCACTGACACCACGGATGTGACATGCAGCCAGTGTGGCATCGCTCACCTGTAATCCCAGCACTCCAGGAGGTCGAGGCAGGAAGAGTGCATATGAGAACAGAGCTCAGGCAATTAGCAAGATCCATCCCAAAATAAACAATAAGCAGGGCTGGGCATGCAGCTCAGTGTGAAGGCCTGGGTTCAATCTCCAGTGCCCCCCACCCACAAAAAAGAGAGTGAGAAATAATTGCAAAGTACTGAGAACATGGGAGGCTGAGGCAGGAGGGTAACAGGTTCAAGACCAGCACAGGAAGTGTGTGAGAACAGCCTAAACTGAATGGTGAGACTCTGCCTCAAAACAGAGAGAGAGACAGAGACAGAGAATAAAAGAAAGCAATTGAAAACAAGCAAACAATTCTCAATTGTGCATTTGTTACAGGAATCTTTCCACTTTTCACTAATTCAACAAATAACTTAAAAATAGATTTTTAAAGTTGCCCTCACTGGCTTTGTTGCATTCCTCACAATGAGAAGTCTCCATTTCGTTTAATGAAATCTTACCAATGGTCAGCCATCATGGAATAGAAACACTTTGGTTCTATTCTTTCAGTACTGAAGTGGACAAGATAATTGAAGTTTCTAGGACCGGCGATCACGGCAAGCGCAGCAACACGCAGCCCATGAACTCATTATTCCTCTTTTGTGCTTTACTGTTTACTCTTCTTATCCTCTTATTGTTTATTTGGTGTTTTGAATCTTTTCCATGTAAGTGTGAACTGGTCTGCTTAGAACTTAATGTCCCTGTAATATCAGATCTTTTCCAAAGGAAACCTTCCCGCCCACACACCAAAGCCACTTGTTATCTGCATTTAAGAGAAAGGCTTAGGTGGGAGTGGCCGAAAAGCAAGGAAGGATCAAAGTGCCAGGGCTTATTTTTAATTATTACCACCCCAGCTGCCCTCTGCAGGCGTGTGCGGGTGCTCGGGGGGCCTGGCAGCCAGTGACTGCACAGGACTGGCCCGGGAGGGAGGCGGTGTGCGTGAGCCCTGCTGTCCCAGTCGCTTTGCTCCTTTGATGCCATAATTCAAAGAAGTGCATGTGGCTCAGTGTCCAGTGGGTTCAGTCCATGGCTGGCTCCCGGACAGAGACAGCATGGTGGAAGGGCGTGACCGGGAAAAGCTGCTTGAATCGTGGCAGCCAGGAAGCAGGGAGAGAAGGGAAGAGCCGGGGACAAGAACACACACTTCCAGGTCGCGCTCCAGGGGCAGCCCCAGCCAGCCCCGCCTCGTGAGCGTAGCACCTTGGTGCAATCACCTTCCACACACAGGGGACTTCGGACAGACCATTTAGATCTAACCCACGTCACCCACCTGTGCTCGCTCCCACCAGGGTGAAGCAGAGGAAAGACCTAATAGGAGCCTTTAAACTGGACCCTGTTTACCTGAAGCACGGCCATCAGGATTCAGGTAAGGGGTGCACTTGCCCTTAGAGTCTGTTCCCGGCTTTGTTTTCCACAGTGGCAGAAAACTTCTGTAATTTCAGGCTGTCCAAAATGGCAGCCACGACCCACAGCAGCAACTGGGCCTTTGCCTGTGGCTGCAGAACTGTGAGCTCCTTTCCTCAGTGAAATGTAAATACTCGGCTGTGACTCGTGGCTGCCGTCAAGGCTGGTACAGTCCCAGGAGCTGAAGACAAGGTCAGCCACTCATTTTCATTCAGGACCATCACCTAGTCAGTCAGTCATTCTCCCCACATGCCATGCCACGCCGTGTCCTCTTGGGGGTGCTGTTCTTTATTTCCTTCCGCCCCTGTGGTTCACTGTGACGTTATTTCTGAGACTGTGGTCCTGTGATATTTTTAATACCCCGTTATGATGAGAAACCTCAGGCCCGAGAGGATCAGTGTTGACATAGGTTCTGTGACTGTGCTTCCGCCTCATGACAGAGGTGAGCCTGGCTGTTCTGCGTTTCCTCCAGCCCCGCCATTTTTCTCCTTTTTGAGAAAATGCCTGCTCTTTCCTGGGAGCCTGGAGGCAGGCAGGGCCGACTCCAGATGTTGTGGGTTGGGTTAGAGCGTTTACCCCAGCTGGGTGCATGGTCAGCTGCAGCCGGGCTGCAGACGCGATGGCCTGGGAAGCTGGGGACGCTGGCAAGGCACGCTGCGGCTCCCCTGGTCTCCGTTAATGGATCAGGTTTCCATCGCACGTGAGTCCCTCTCTGTTAGGTACGCAGTCTGACGACACCCACCCTCATGATTCCCACCCGATCCACGCCCCAGGCCACTCAGAGAAGCTGCAGTCCCTGAACCAGGGTTCTGTCGTACTGTGATCGGGACACATCACTTAGACACAGAGGCGACGGAGGGAGTGGCCACTTGTCCTCACCAAATCCGGAGGAAAGTGACTGGATTGTCACTAAACATCTGCTCTGGGCTGACCTCGGGTCTGCCTTCCCCGCTTTATTATCCCAACCGTCCTTTGTAGCTGGTTCACCCTCCTGTGTGTGAATGAATGAATGGTGAGTGATCTATGTGACCCGAATGCAGCCTCCTTTGGATGGACACCTCAGGATGACACCTCAGGGTTTCATGCTATGTCTCTACAGAAAGCGAACCTAAGGTCCGTGAATAATCGCGCATTTCCAGCCTGTGTCCTGGCGTCCCGCTTACTGGGACTCCCCTCGAATCTGTCACCTGGCGATGTGCCGTTCTTAGGTGCAGCCTCCGCCGCCACCAGGTGGATCATCTTGTTTGTGACACAAGAAATCTGCCCGGAAGATGAGAAGGATTGGAGGCGTGTGGTCCGCAGTTTGGTCTAATGGCTTCTCTCTTCTTTTCTCTCTCTTTTTCAGGGCTCATCACTGACTACAGGGTAAGTGGCCACCCGTCTCACTAAGTGGCGCAGAGCTGCCATTTGCCATGTGGGCAGTGCTGGGGCTTCCGCATTGTGCCTGCGGGTGTCCCTTGCCCCCGTGAGCAGTCCCCCCTGACCCATCAGCTGGTCTCTGTGGGAGGTGGGCAGGTCTGCCCGTCCCGCCAGCCACGGACACAGTGGGGCAGACCTGGCCCAGCTGCGCTGCTGGCGGGGCGGGCGTCCGCCTTCTGGACTCCTCTGTCTGTGTGGATGCCCGTCCTGGGCGGTCCTGGTGGGTGGTGGACACCGGCCAAAGGTGTGCGGCCGCTTGACTCAAATTGTTTCACTTGCCACAAGTGTTTGGCTCGGTAGACATGGCAAGCACAGGGTTGCCCAGCCTGCTCTGGAAGGGAGGTGCTGGGGATCCCTCACCAGAACAGAAGCCCGGGAGCCGGGACACGCGAGGAGAGCTGTGTGTCCACGTCAGAGCTGGCTGCGGGGTGACGGTGACCGCAGAGTGACCCTGCCTGTGACAGCTGTCGCTGCTGCCCACCTGGCCCTAGCCCTCCACCACAATCCGGAGGCGCTCTGTGCTGCTGTCCTAGCAAGATGGGTGGCCTTTGCCCTGGGCCCCAAGTGTCCCCAGGGCTCTAGCATGAGCTCCAGCCTCGTCCCTGAGTGGGTGGGGCAGGCTCTGGAGGCGAAGAAGGGAAAGAACAGTACCTTTTGTTCAAAGCGATTGGAAACCCATGCTTCAGGCCATCCTAGCCTGCAGGCTGGGGAGCAGGCCCCCGGGACAGAATGCTGCCCTCTCCTGGGCTCGTAGGGAAGTGCAGGGTCAAGCACCCACGGCTGAGGCGTGAGGACAGACTGGCCCAGAGGAGGGCATTTGGGAGACCAGGTTTCGCTCGGTGTCTGCTCTGAACTGCACACTGAAGATGCAAAGATAGCGTCGCTGCCCTCCAAGCCCGAGAGAGGGGCCTGGGCCAGGCGGCCGTCGCGACACCCACTGCTCAGGGCAGGAGGCAGAGGTTCCTAGGGGTTCCGCAAGGTCCCAGAGCGGCGGAACCTCCTGGAAGCGGGGCCTAAGGTCTAGGTTGCAAGCTCACCCACCCCCGCCATGCTCCCCAGACCACGAGGATGAGGGGCTGCGTTTCCTGCCACACACTGGTGGCTTAGCAAGGGCGGGACCATGTGCAGTTCAAAATTTTTCAGCTGTGGAAGGAGAGGTACCGGAAAACAGATCATCTGCGGGGTTGGAAAGGAAGCTCTGGACATGGTCCTCATGATGCGCTGTTTTCTGTTTTATTTCAGCACTGGCAGATCCCCCTGGGCCGGAGATTCCGCTCTTTGAAGATGTGGTTTGTCTTCAGAATGTATGGTGTCAAGGGCCTGCAGGCGTACATCCGCAAGGTGACTGGTGGGCTGGGTTGCTCTTCTCCCTCTCTCTCCCTCTCTCTCTCTCTTTCCTCCCCCTCTCCTTCTCCTGCATCTTCTTGTGGTACTAATGACTGAACCCAGGGCCTTTGCACTAAGCTACCTCCTTAGCACTTTTTAATTTCTTATAAAATTTGACACAGCATCTTGCTAAATTGTCAAGCTGGCCTGGCTGGGCTCAGACTTGCGATCCTCCTGCCTCAGCCTCCCAGAGTGCTGGGGCTCCAAGCCTGTGTCACCGCACCCAGTCTGTCTTCATTCTCTCTGAGTAACATTACGAAGGTCTTGGGCACTTAGAAATCAATCTAGCAAGGAAAAACAGTCACGGTCACGTAACGGTGGGGTGAGTTCTGAGCAGTGCACAGTAGGTGCTTTTGTCACTGTGGGAAGGTCACCGCGTGTGGCTGCACAAAGATGACAGTGACGAAGTAGGAGACGCAGTCCCCGGGACAGCGTGCTCCAGGCTGTCCCTCGCCCACTGAGACGTCAACACGTGGCCTGCCACGTACCTGCTAGAGGAGACAGACTGTAGCTGGGGCTGCGGAGCTTAGAGTGTTTATAGAATGGCCAAACACAGTTATGGATCTTTGAAGACACTTGTGTCGGGCGTCAGCTGTCAGCTCCAGGGAGAATGTCAAAGTCGAACACTGTGGAGGTCGTTCTGCCGTGTCTGCGGGGAAAAGTACGGTAGTGAGGCTCACAGAGCAGCGGCAACAGGGCAGACCGCAGTGGGTGATGGGAAGGGAGGGTGAGTGTTCGCATTAAACTTACTGCGGTAGAAGACACACTGCCAGGACTCCTCCTGGCTTTGAACACACTTAGCCCATTCATGCAGCCGTGCTGAAATCCTCTTTCCTGTGTGTCTTTATGGGGTGGATCAAAAATGCAGTGACCGCTGCTGCCGAGCACCGCTTAATGGAAAGGCAGCTCGTACAATCACGGCGCTGTGTCCTCACCCTCCTTACTTAGTGGATCTGACGCCGCGTGGCTTCTGGCCCCTCCTCACAGTCACAGTGACCCTGAAAGGTCAACGCTTTGCCCTGACTCAGGACACCGAGGCAGCCAGGACCGACGGCAGAGCTGCTGCAGAGAGGGGCAAGGACCGCGGGATGAGCGCTGGAATGAGGGTGCGGCCCGGCTGGGTCTCAGCAGCCTCTGTCTCCTCTGATAAACAGTAGCATTTGAGAACCAAGCCCCACTACCCTGCTGTTTCTTCAACCCCGGTGAGACTCGGGCCCCAACGTGAGGTCAGGCCCCCGGGGGCCCCCCTCCGCCGGCGCAGGGCCTGCTGGATCCAAGCCGAGGCTGCGCAGCCCTGGGGTCTGTCTAAGCCCCGAGCTCCCCTTGCAGGGCAGGGATCCGGGTTCATGGGGAAGGCAGCCTGGGAGTGACAGGGACAATCGTTCGCTTTAAGTGCTGGCGCGACTGGGTTGCCAGCCTGGCGGGGAGGGCAGGGACCGACATCACAGGGCCCGCTCCGTGACAGGGACGCAGAAATGCATCCCTCTGCAAGGTGAGGTTTGCCTGGGGGAGAACCAGGACAGGAGTCTGCGTGAATCTGACTGCGATTCCCTCGTGTGCATCTGAACAAGCATAAGGAGGACGGATCCACTTGTTTGGGGAAAGAAGGCAGAAAGGGAGTGGCTTGCCTGTCCACGGGGGTGACATCGTCAGACTCCAGGGCGGCTAGGGGGTGTGCCGTCTTGTGTAAAGACACCGCTCACCCCTCTGTGAGCAGGGACCGGGGTCGTGAGCCCAAGCGTGTGGCAGTGGTTGAAGCCAGGGCCTAGCTCTGCGTCACCCGAGTCTGAGGTCTTTGGCGCCCTCTGGTGCTCTGCCTCGGTATCGCCCATTTCAGCGGCCTGGGTTGGCAAGCTTTGTCCGGGACTTTGCTGTTTCCTGTGCGCTAGCCTGCGACAGCTCTGCGGAGGCAGACGAGCCGGAGGTGCACCGCGACCCAGGGAGCACGGCCTCCACGGTCACACAGCGCGTGTGTCTCACACACATCCAGAAGGTGCACGACGAGGGAGCTCGGTGGCCGAGCACGTGCCTGGCGTGCACCAGGCCCAGGCGTCAAGCCCAGTGCCGCAGTGGGTGTTCAAATACCCACTGGCAGTGTTGTTCGAAAGCTGCGGAGGCCCGGTCCTGGGCTGAGCACAGCGGTCCGCGGGCGGGAGGCGCAGATGCTTCTCTGAGGGGACAGTGCAGACTCGAGGGAAATCGCTCGGGAGCGAGGGCTGTGCTGTCTAATACGTTGTTCTGGGCGGTTACGTCCTGAATTCAGGGCGATGAGAAGCTCAAAGCGACTCCCTTCTCTCTGCAGCACGTGCAGCTGGCTCACGAGTTCGAGTCCCTGGTGCGCCAGGACCCCCGCTTTGAGATCTGCATGGACGTCACTCTGGGGCTGGTCTGCTTCCGGCTCAAGGTACGCTCGCACCTGCCGCAGGCCTCCTTGCTTTCTTTGCATGAGACAGAGAAGCAGACACCATTGTGACCTCGGCTCTCAGAGGCTCAGTTAGCTGCCCCGGGGGTGGTTCTGTCCGTCTCCCCCACACTTCTGTCACGGGGACGCTCTGCAGGACTGCGGCCGTCCACAGCTGGCCCATCCCGGGTCACCCTGGACCTGCCGCACCAGCCCCACCTGCCTGCTCAGGTGAGAAAAGCCGGCCTCAGGCTCCACCCTGCACCCCAGCAAGGTCTGTGCAGAGGGGTGAGGCGGGCCTGCGGGTGCTCTGCTGCCTGAGCGCGTGTGCCCTGTGTCAGGTGGGCCAGGCGGCTCTGGGGACGCATTTTGCCGGGACTCTGCACCTGGCTGGTGTGTCCTGCATGTCCTGCATGTCCCTTTAATGTCTGTCGGGGGCGCTGCGCCAGGGGGGAGCTGGCACTGTGACCACGCTGACATGGCAATAGGTTGACAGTTTTGTTTTTGCCATGCTGGGGGTGGAACCCAGACCCTGGTACATTCTAAGCGAGCACGAGCTTTATCTCTGGGCCACACTCCTGGCCCCCATCTTCTTAAAAAACAGGAGGTCTCACCGAGCTGTTCAGGCTGCCTGGCACTTGCAGTCCCCCCGTCCGCACACCCGGCAGCCGGGACAGCGGCTGCTGTCACCCCACATGGGCCGTCAGGCTCTGAGTCAACTTCAGGCCTTTCCCCACGCCCTCGTGGCTCAGAGGTGGGCATCGGGAGAAGCAGGCGGGCGGTGTCAGTGTCCTGCCAGTCAAAGTGTGGCACTGCCCTGCGCACCACCTCCTTTCCCTTCCCTCCGCCCACCGCTTCTTGGAACGTTGAGTGCGGACGAGATCCGGGTGCGGAACAGCCGGAATCGCGGTGCTAGGTGGAATCCAGGTCCAGCACTCTTCAGGGGCGTGGGGTGGCAGGGCCGGGGGGGCACAGGGGACAGGCAGGGACACACACACACCATTCTCATGGCGACGGGGACGACGGGAGCGGGCAGGCCCCTCGCGGGTGTTGGCACCGAGCTCCGACCTACCTGCCCCCGGAAGCTGCCTTGTTTCTGTTGCCCGTGTTCTTGTGGGACTTGTGTATTTTAATCTGAAGGGTTTTGCGACATAATTCACTCTGCGCCTTTCAGTTGCTCACTGAGTGACTTTTAGTACATGCGAGGGCCCTACCGCCAGCGCCGCAATCTGATTAGAACATCTTCCCCGCTCTAACGCCAACCCCTGTGCAGTCACTCGCTGCCGCGGGATCGGGCCACCGCCGCTGCTTCGGAGCGTGCTCCGCGGACGCCCGTGTAAGTGGACCTCGCTGAACGTCCTGTGTGGCCGCTGCTTCGGGCAGCGCTCGGTGCGGGCAGGGCCGCGCCGGCCCCTCTTGCCTGCCTTCGGGCTCTCGTCGTGGTCGTGGCAGGAAGCCCAGGGCATGTGTCAGCGGACGAGCGTCGTCCTGTGTGAACCTCGGTTCTTCCAGTGAATCGGCTTCTTCTGGAGGCCGTGGGCCAGCCGCACCTTCTGGTCCTTTTCCTGCCTCCAAAATCACCGCACTGTGGGTGCTTCGGCTCGCCGGGTCCTCTCCGGCCGGACTCGGCCACTGCAGCGTCCCCGCGGCTCCGCAGCGGACCTCAGGCCTGGGGCGCCGCAGCGGCAGGAGCGGGTCTCCAACAATTTGCCCTTGTGCCTCCAGAAATCCCAGCTAACCCTATTCACTTGAAAACGGCAAGCAATTTTCTCCTAAGCTGCTGTCGTTTTCTGCACCGTAGCAATTTCAGGTGTGTGCTCTGCGGACGTCTTCCCCATAAAACTCCACCCCCGTGGGACCGTCCTTCCTCTGCTCTCTGTTCTGTTTGTTTCCTCTTTCTTTTTTGCTCACATTGCCGAAGGGACCTGGTGTCCGTACCAGTGGCATTTTTTCATTAATTAATTTTTCTGGTACATTTTAGATACGCATAGTAATCACACCCATCGTAGGGAGTTTGTACCTGTACATGATACAACTGATCCTTTTTCCCCATTCCCCTACCCTGTTGTCAACCCCTCTTCCCCGCCCTGTGTGCAAAGCCTTTGTTTCAATTTTCCCCTCCTCTTATTTTTTCTTTTCCCTTCCTTCCTTTCCCCTCCTCCCTGTCCTGGTTCCCCTTTCTGTTTAACCGTTATCTTCCTATTTCATAATATCTAGGATACTTTTTAATCCTTATTTATACTTTTGATTTCTCACAACAGAGAGACAATGCAGTATTTACACATTTGTGTATGATTTATTTTACTTAAGACTATGGTCTTCACGTGCATCCATTTACCTAGAAATGTCTCAAATTTATCCTTCTTTATGGCTGAATAGTACTCCATTGTATTAAGAAAAAAAACCATCATCTTTATCCATTCATCCATTGTTGGACATTTGGGCTGTTTAGCTGGTATAAAAATGTGCTGGTATGGAAAGGGGTATGCCTATTGTGGCAGGATCTTTTTAATTCTTTCAGAAAGTTCCAAGACTGGAAATAATTGGAACAGGTAGAACTTCTAGTTTTTGTTCTTTGAGGAATCTCCACACTGACTTCCACAGTGGTTGTACCAATCTACCCTCCCACCAGCAGTAGAGAAGGGTTCTTTACCCTCCCCCACCACAGTCCTGCCAGCATTTGTTATTGGTTGATTTCTTGATGGTAGCCATGCTTTCTGGAGTGAGGTGGAATCTCAGCATTATTTTAATTTTCATTTCTTGACTGACCAGTGAGGTTGAACATTTTTTCACATATTTATTTGCAGTTTGTACTACTTCATCTGAGAAGTGCCTATTCATCTCAGAGGGCCTTTTTTGGATTGGGTCTTTCAGTTTTGGGGTATGATTTTTTTTTTTAGTTCTTTATATATTGTAGATATTAGTCCTTTGAGGAAAAGCTGGCACAAAATGTTTCCCACTCTAACTTGTCTCTTCATTCATCTATTATTTCTTTTGCTGTGTGAAAAGCCTTTTAATAAGATGCGATCCCACTTGATTCTTTGTAATATTTGCCATGTGATTGGGGTTTTGTTCATAAACTCTTTGCCTACATTTATGTCTTCAAGAGTTCTACCTATATTCTCTTCCAGCAGATTTAGTGTTTCTGTTTTAGTAGTTAGATCTTTGATTCATTTTTATTTTAGTTTATTCCATGGTGAGAAACATGGGTCTAGTTTTACTCTTTGGCACACGGAAACCAGTTATTCCAGCACCATTTCTTCCAGTGAGGGAATTTGACCCCTTTGTTGAAGATAAGGTGGCTGAATGTGTTTGGAGTTGTTTCTGCATCTTCTGATCTGTTCCATTAACCCTGAGGTTTGTTTTGTCTTCCAGTACCATGCTGTTTTTATCATAGTAGCTTTGTAATATAATTTAAAGTCAGGGGTGGTGATGCCCCCCTGACTTGTCTTTGTTATCCAGAATTATTTTTGCTATTCTAGGTCTCTTCTGGTTCCAAGTAAATTTTAGGACTGTTTTCTCTAACTCTGTGAGTTGTGGTATGGGTATTTTGATCAGGATTCCATTAAATCCGTACAACAATTTTAGAAGTATGGCCATTTTCACTACATTGGTTCTTCCTACACAGAAGCAAGGGATATCTTTCTTTTTTCTGATATCCTCTTCAATCTCCTTTTTCAGAGTACTGTAGTTCTTTGTATTGTTTTTTTTTTTTAAATCATATATGGGTGTTGGACTTTGTCAAATGCTTTCTCTGTATCTATTAAGATGATCATGTGATTTTTTTCCTTTGGCTCTGTTGACACATGGTGTAATACATTTATTGATTTACCATCAAAAAATCAATTTTGTTGATTTATTATGTTTGTTGAACCATCCCTATATCCCTGGGATGAAACGTACTTGGTCATGTTGTCTAATTGTAAAGATTTGCTGCATTCTGTTTGCCAGTATCTTCTTGAGGATTTTTGCATCTATATTCACTAGAGAGATTGGCTGGTATCTCTCTCTTGTGGTTGGATCCTTCTGTGGTTTTGGTGTCAGGATAATGCTTGCTTTGGAAATATTGTTTCCCTTTCAATTTCACTAAATAGTTTGAGGAGTCATGGCATTAGAGCTTTCCTAAATTTCTTGAAGAATTCAGCATTGAGCCCATCAGGACCTGGATTTCTCTTTGTTGGTAAGTTTTTAATTACATCTTCAATTTTGTTGACTGATATTGGGTTATTTAGAATTTTCATATCTTCGTGATTCAGCTTCAGTAATTCATTTGTACCTAGGAATCTATTTTTTCTGTGTTTTCCATCTTACTAGAATAAAAGTTCTTGAAGTAGGTATTGATGATCTGGGTTTCTGCACAATCCATTGTGATTTCCCTTTTTCATTCCATTTTTTTTATTTTAAAGAGAAAAATTCAAAACAAGATAATAGGAGGATAACAATGGTTAATATATTGCATATTGTTATCTTTAACTTAGTTCTTCAGAGTACAAGTTATAAGCATTTAATTGTCCAAACAATATTAACACAAAACTTCCTTTTCAATGCACTAAGAGAAATTAATAGTATAATTATCTTAACTATCTTATAGATAGGTAGATAGATAGATAGAAATAGGTAGATACAGATATAGATATTTACTTTTCACTTCTTTCTTTTCTCCTTTCCCCTGTCCTCGTTTCTCTTTCCTTTTGACCAGTTTCTTCCCATTTTACAATATGTATTGTACCTTTTGGATCTTATTTACTCTTTCAGCTTCTCACACTAGGGAGACAATATGATGTTTGTGCATGTGCATCTGGTTTATTTCACTTATGAGTATGGTCTCAAGTTGCATCCGTGTACCTATAGAAGTCTCCAGTTTAACCTCTTTATGACTGAGTAGTACTCCATTGTATAAAAAGACCACCTTTTTTTTATCCATTCCTCAGTTGATGAGTATTTGAGTTATTTCCACATTTTAGCTATTACAAATTGTGCTGCTATAAACATGGGTGCACATA